AGACCTGCCCATCCATTGCTCTCAAAGGGACTCTTAGCAGGAAAGGGAAGGATTGGGTTGACGACCTGATGGAAGGGAGTGAGATGTTCCGATGATCCACAAATCTGCTTAAAGGGCTAGCCGTATCCCTTGTTTGTCTCTAAATTTATCTTTTACTTTATAGTATTAGAAGAAAAAGTAAAATTCCACCTTTTAGCTTAATTACTTGCTTTTTCCTTATTCTCGTCAAGATGGAAAAGATAACAGTGTCCATTTTATTCCTACTGTGTAGAAAGAACTTGAAGGCAAAGTTACTTAAATATGGTCTGATTCTGATAAATTTCAGGATTTTAGAAGATTCAGGTGACAACAGGAGAAACTGAGTGGCAGACCTGCCCATCCATTGCTCTCAAAGGGACTCTTAGCAGGAAAGGGAAGGATTGGGTTGATGACCTGATGGAAGGGAGTGAGATGTTCCGATGATCCACAAATCTGCTTAAAGGGCTAGCCGTATCCCTCGTTTGTCTCTAAATTTATCTTTTACTTTATAGTATTAGAAGAAAAAGTAAAATTCCACCCTTTAGCTTAATTACTTGCTTTTTCCTTATTCTTTATATCCCTTGTGGCACACCCTGATTTAATTCATTTAATTTCACCGAAAAGAGTACAGGGATGAATGGGCCCATATTAAAGATGAAGCACATTTAATTGACCATGGTGCTGGGGTGAGGTTTTTCTTGTGCCAAGTTGAAAGTTGTCCCTTGAATTTGTCAGGCAGATGTGCTTACAAATGAAAGAAACTCATCACTGAATAGATTAAGGACATAAGAGAGGGGGTCGTTAAGGGTATTCTTCTGAGGTAACTCTTCAGAAAGAAAAGCTTCTGGGACTGAAAGAATGCTCAGAGAGTCGAATCTGAGATATGTAGACATCCCCACAACAACCACAAAATTCCTTACTTCCAATGTTACTTTCATTTTCTTAATTTGCTCCAAGAGCAAGAGACTTAGCCACCGGCAGCTCTGGATTAATTTTCTAAAGTCCTCAAATTACCCTGCTCCCCTCTAAATGTGTCCCTTCAACCTCCAGGTCTGAAAAGCCCAGGAAAGATTCTTACTGGCTCAGCTTGGGTGGCACTCCCTCTCTTTGAAACAATCATTGTGGCTCAGCGAGCGCGGTTTCTTTATTAACTCGACCTGTGTGCTGAGTGGACTGCCCTGTTGGGTCACTGCCATCATCCCAGTCTTGTTCCACACAGCAAGTCATGAACCATTTGTGACACAGGATATACAAGAAAACAACAGAATAAAACAGAATAATTTACAGTAGGATTCTCAGAATCTTCCACAATGGTATATTGTTTTTGGAAGTTTTCGTTTTAGCTGTTGGTATGTGTGTGTATTTCTGAGTGTGATTTTGGTCACATAGTAAAATAGACTTTTTAATGTGCATTGTAGTAAAAAAAAAAAAAAATCAGAATGTCCCTTGGCTCGGCCGCACAGTTAGTGTATTTGACTTCTATCAATGCTGTTATTCCCAGATTAGTGGCTTGCAATGCATTACTCACAGCAGTAAGGAAGTTCCCTTGCCCTCGTGTGGTCTTAGACCGCATTAGAGCATGATTGCTCCCTTAATCCCTATGTTCCTCATTCACCCACTTTAGAGAGTAATCAAATGTATTCTCTTCTGGGCTTTAACATCAAGACTTACTTGTCCTTGCCTATTCCCATTTTCATTTGTCTTTAATCCCCCTACACTCCCATTTTTTCCATAGTCCAATTACAGTAGAATATTGTATTACTTTTACTAAGTGTTTGCTATGGCTTTCTGAATTTGTAAATGTAAAACAACCAACACTCACCAAAAAAGTCCTATTTCATTTTACCTATTCATATGCCTTCTCATATAATACAATTTGCATGAACCAAGAATGATAAATTAACGTGAAAATTTTGAAGTGTCTACAATGATTACATTAAATATAAGTGACTTACTGATAATTTTTGAAACTTGACCACAGCTCCTTCTCTGAAAGTCCGGATGTCTGTGAAGAAAACCGTTGATTTCCAAAACAATTATTTGCCAGTTAATTGTGTGGCATTACCCTATAGGTGTTACTTGCACCTGATTTTATTTTCATTCTACTTAGTGCAGCAGAATTTTCTTAATATCCTTTTTAAGATTTGCCTAATATTCTAGAATATTAAATAATAGTGATGGAAAAGTCCTCTAACAGTAACTATTAGTATTCCACTAAGAAACAAAAATTATCCAACTAAACATATTAGCTAATGCCCTTTAAGCATATAGTGAGTTTAACATAAGATTTATTTTTCAACTTTATAAAGTGAGTCAAGTTTGCATTTTAGTCAACATTCAAACAGACATTCTTAGATGATACCAGTTTGTCACTGTTAATTTTTTAATGGGCTGCCATATTTAATGGAAGATTTGTGGATTCATATTTATAAATAAGAATGTGCTGCACTTAGTAGCATGTTTTCTTATTACATTTCATATTTCTCGAAAAATATAAACGGGATTTTTTTCATAATCTCCAACCATTGCATAGCTGCAAATTTATCTTTTCCTTAAATGTCTAAGAGGAAACATTCTTGGAAGCCTGATAATTGAAAATGTTAGCTCCCTGATGACCCCAATTTTTGTCTACTCATCATTCCTCACTGCTGTCTAGGTTCGATTTAAGCAATTTATATTTTTTCGAAAATTCTTATGTTTCATCAGTATTTTCAAATGTTAGATTTTTTTGAACGATGCCCTTGTAATTTTAAAATAATTTCTAAATTTATTTCCCTTTCTAAGTGAAGTTCCCGAGAGGTTTAATAATTGTTTTCAACAAATAGCTCTCATATTTTTTCAATTCTATAGGTTTGGGTAAATTTTATGGACACAAGTATTGTTAATAATTTTAACTTTGGGAATTTTAAAGGATCTTTTGTAGTTATAAATATGCAGATTTTTGTTTTATTTTGTATGATATTAGAGAATTGTGGCATTTTCATTTATGTACTGTAATTTTGTAATTGGCCATTTTACTGTTTTTCACTTGTTTCCATGGGTGTTTATTAATATGCAGTGCTAAAGGATCAACAAAATATTTTGCCTCATTTTTAGAATTCGGTACTTAATATTCCTGAATAATTGATGATAGAAAGCTGCTTTGTCATCCTACTGACTATATTTCACCATCAAAATGGTATTAGGCTTTTGTTTGAGATATACACCTAAGAAATAAGCCTATTCATTTTTACTAAGCATTTTCACCTAAAGGTGTCAATGATTTGTAAGCATATCTTTTGTCTCATTAACATGGCATGGTTACAGATTTCAGAATGAGTGACCATAGTAAAATTCTTGGTAGGAAATTCCTAGCTAGAAGGTACTTGAGAAAACAACACAGCCTAAATGTTGAGATATGATTGCTCTTTGCCGGGTGTACTGTAGACATGCCCTCCAAACATTAGTGTTGTGCTGAAAGCTGCAAGTTTAAAAGTCTTCCTTTGCTTCTAATCCAATCATCATCCAGTCTAACTCTACCCCGTTAAAAGCCCCCAAATAAGATTCCAAATTGTCACATTCTTCTTCTTTGGAATTATATAGGTTGTAGTAAAAATGTCCTAAATTTGCTCCTTTTCCCAAGGAAGTTGGCATTTCCTCTATCGGAGCCTGCTAGGATAACTGCTCTACCTTGCCATGAAGTGAGTGATGAAACAGTTTCACCCAAAACCATCATGAGTTCTGCTGGCAGTATTATTGAGCCCATGAAGTGAGTGATGAAACAGTTTCACCCAAAACCATCATGAGTTCTGCTGGCAGTATTAATAATTGAAGTGAACTGCTTTATTTACTCTAGTCACCAAACTAGATTCTTCTGAGTCCTATTTATGAAATTTGTATTCAATTTAATTTTTTGCTGGTGAATCGGAAGTTATTGTTCTTTTGTAAACCTAAGCTCTTTCTCAAAAATTGTGAGTAGCTCTAAAAAGAGCCTTTGGGTTTTTGCTTTTTTTTCCTCCAGATGCTCACGTCACCAGCGAGACTCTACATCTCCTGAAGTGTTACTTGCTCTGGACTTTATGGTGGTGGCCCTCAGTCTTTTGGGGCAGCAGCACAGCGTAGATGTTGGGCTCAAGGGATGCCCCCTTGAGCGATGGCCACACTGCCCCAAACACCTCATCATTGCAGATAGTTGACCATAGGTGGCGCGGGATGATGCGCGTCTTCTTGTTGTCGCGGGCCGCGTTGCCCGCCAGCTCCAGGATCTCGGCGGTCAGATACTCCAGCACCGCCGCCAGGTACACCGGCGCGCCGGCTCCCACCCGCTCGGCGTAGTTGCCCTTGCGGAGCAGGCGGTGCACACGGCCCACGGGGAACTGCAGGCCGCTCTGGATGAACCGAACTTAGCCTGAGCGCGTGCTTCCTCCTACCCCCTCCTCCACCCCACGCACACACCCACCCCCGCCGTTACAAATAAATCTGTTATAACGGAAAATATGACCGACCGTTATGGCAGGTACCCGGTTTATATACAGTGTGATGGCAGATTGTGGCTTGTGTTCTGATTGGCTAATAGCCGTGTATCCGATCAGAGCACCTTGCTGGTATCACCTCATTTACATACACGAGACTACTCATTATCCAATCAGATGTTGGATGCCCAACACGTCATTTGAGTGCCATATCTATAAATACCACACTTGCCCGTGGTCAAATGCCATTCGCTTATTGACTTTACGTTTGAGATTGTTTATCAGCTATGCCAGAACTTAATTCAAAGGGCTCCACTATTTCCAAAAAGGGCTTCAAGAAAGCTGTCACTAAAACTCAGAAGGAGGGGAGGAAGCGTAAGAAATGCCGCAAAGAGAGCTATTCTATTTACATCTACAAGGTGCTGAAGCAGGTCCACCCGGACACCGGCATCTCGTCCAAGGCCATGGGCATCATGAACTCTTTCATCAGTGACATTTTTGAGCGTGTCGCTGGTGAGGCGTCGCGGCTGGCGCATTACAACAAGCGCTCGACCATCACGTCCAGGGAGATCCAGACGGCCGTACGCCTGCTGCTGCCCGGGGAGCTGGCCAAGCACGCCGTGTCCGAGGGCACCAAGGCCGTCACCAAGTACATCAGCTCCAAATAAAACGATCCAGCCACCAGACGAACTTCAGAAACCAAAGGCTCTTTTAAGAGCCACTTATATTTTCTAAAGGGTTGTAGGCTCTTTGCTTAGGTGGTTATTTTATGGGATTGGGCTTCATTGTTGGAGAAACAAACGGGTAATTTAGCAAATGGCGCAACACCGAGGGTTGCGATCCGTTGCCGGTCACGAAAAAAAGACAAAAAGGAAAAAAAGTAATTCATATTAGAACCCATCTGCCTGGCTAACCACAATTGACTGACAAACAGGAGTAACTTTAACTGAATCTCCTCTGCTTTTGTATTATAAGTTATGGTAGGATCCCTTTTTTGTTGTATGATAGGATTGTTAGAAATGGTGTTTGTGTCCTGTTGTACTGGACTAAAATACTGAGATGTTCCAAATTTTACCATAGGGTATACATCTAAATAGGATGCCCAATATTCAAGTCAGTGGACTTAGTGCAAGATTCACTCTATCATTATCTGGACTCTTCTCCAAAAGCAGACAAGCATTTAAAAAAAAATCGTTGATAACAGACATTGAAATCAGTGACCTTAAAAAGAAGGGATCAAGGGCCGGCCTGGTGGCGCACTGCTACAGTGCACCGCTTGGGAAGCGTGGCGGCGCTCCCGCCGAGGGTTCGGATCCCACATACAGACCGGCTGCTCACTGGCTGAGCTAGGTGCGGGAGCAACACCGAGGGTTGCGATCCCGTTGCGGTCCCGGTCCGGGTACGGGCGCGACACTGAGGGTTGCGATCTGTTGCCGGTCACGAAAAAAGACAAAAAAAA